AGGAAGGCTGAACTGGAGATGTTCTGACCTGATGCTGTCTCTGTGTTGGTGAGGGGAGGGTGGGGGCTGCAGACCCCATCATAGGGTTCTGTCATGGGTTCCTGAGCACGAGGAGCTCCCGCTGGTTCTCCGCTCCCAGCATCTCTGCAGGGGCCTCAGATAACCTCCCCCAGGTCCTTTAAGCTGTGGCTTTATCTATTATTGAGCGCCGAGAGAGCAGCTGCCCATGAAATATTTAAGTATTAAAACTTAGCTAAGAGCCTCAGGTGCACTCATGCATCCTCTGAGGCAAAACTAAGTGGAGCACGCATGGAGGAGCAGTGCTGGGTGGTGGCTGCAGCTTTCCTCTGCAGTCTTGAATCATTTAAAATCTTCCCTCCTTGGGCTTTTTGGAGGAGGAAACCCAACTATTTTTCAGCTGTTTTGCCTGGCTTTCCTTTATGCCAAACCTGCTATGATTGAGACAGCAGTAACATTTTATAGGGCTGAGAGGAGGAGCCTGGTTGGGGTTCCTTTTCTTGGGCTGAGCCCGCAGCACCTTTCCATGAGACACCATCTCTCCAGGTCCCCTCCAGCTTCCTGCAGACTCTCCATTCTTGGCTTTCTTGGTGTTGCAATCCCTCTGCAAGTGCCAGACCTCACCCAACCTGTAACCAAATAAACGGTCCCTTGTTTGGGGTGGAAACGTCCTGTGGCCACTTAAGGAACAGTGAACTTTATTCCCTGGTAACAATTTCTAGTGGCACAACCCATCACTGCAGCTGTAGGTAAACACAGCACGCGTGGACCTTGTATTTATTGCAGACAATGAGAAAAGGCACTTTTCTGTGGAAGGAGGGAAGGTGGAAGACGTATTTGCATGGCATTTCTAGCCTGGAAAAAGAAAAGGAAAAAAAAAAGAAAAATTAAATAAATGGAGAATTCTGGGGCCTGCTGTACAAATCTGTGTTCTGGATGTCTGGGCTGGGTAAATCAGGCACATAGCAAATGTGAGGACTGTAGAGGAGCCATCTTACCAAAGATGCCTCTCTGGTAATAAAGGTCAAGCTGATTTCCAAGGCATGGTTGTGGCCACATGGGACGCCCATGGAACAATGTTGCTCGTCCAGATTCTGAGCTACAGAAGCCGTGCATCTCAGCCATTGTATCCAGTGATGCCAGGGCAGTGATGCAGCTGATTCCCTCACTGTGAGGACGCGTGGCTCTGACCCGCAACCTTGCTGTTGTTTTCTCTGCAGGGTGGAATGAGCTCCTCATCGCCTCCTTCTCCCACCGCTCCATAGCTGTGAAGGATGGGATCCTGCTGGCCACTGGGCTGCACGTGCACCGCAACAGCGCGCACAGCGCCGGCGTCGGGGCCATCTTTGACAGGTGGGAGAATGGAGAGAGTGGGAAATCCCAGCTCTGTCCCTGTGCTCCGTGTCCCCTGGTAGAGGATCTCCTCTGTGCATCCTATGAGCGCGTCGTGTCGCTGCTCCTCGGTGTGCAGAGCCAGCAGCACAAAATAGCTGCACAGATCACAGCCCATCGCGAAGCGACGCTTCTGCCACGGGGTCCGGATGCCTCCCAGTGTTAAGAGGGGCTTCTCTTTATTTTCTGTTTCTAATTGGGCCGAGATGTGGTTTTATTGTCAAAGTGAAAAAGCACCAGAAATAAACAGTGGGTTCCACAGGCACATCCCAGCAGCTCTTCAGTTGTTTGGGAAAGTGTTCTAGAGCAACAGCGTGGCTCTGGGCATCGCTCACACTGTGGCTGTTATAAAGAAAGGTTGAGGGAACTGGGCTTGCTTAGCTTAGAGAAGAGAAGGCTCTGGGGAGACCTCACTGTGGTCTTTCAGTACTTGGAGTGTATAAGCAGGAGGGGGAACGGCTGTTAGGTTAGATATTAGGAAGTTTTTCACAGAGGGTAGTGAGGCACTGGAACAGGCTGCCCAAGGAGGCTGTGGATGCCCCATCCCTGGAGGCATTCAAGGCCAGGCTGGATGTGGCTCTGGGCAGCCTGGGCTGCTGGTTGGTGACCCTGCACACAGCAGGGGGTTGGAACTACATCATCATTGTGGTCCTTTTCAACCCAGGCCATTCTATGATTCTGTGATATGATTCTGGTTTCTCTGCTCCAGCCTCATCCTGAGGCACTGACTTGGAACCAAACCACCGATGCTTTCTCACTTAGCAAGGAAATTGCTCTTTGGTGCTGGGTGACATCATTTGTTTCCTGTGAGGTCATAAGTGCAAGCACATGACTTCACTGCAGGCTCCAACAGGAAACACTGGGCAATCACTGGAAAATATTTCAAGACCGGCACCTGCAGAAGGAGCAAAGGGAGTAATAAAAATTACCAGCAGAGGAAATTGCTTTTAGATACCTGCCTTATTTTTTTATTACTTTTTTTTTATTATTATTATTATTATTATTTTTAGGTGGCTTTCTCAGGTGCCAAATTCACAGTGAGTGCACAAAGCCAGTCCTGCTGATCTCTGTTCTGTCTCACAGGAACCGCTGATATTCCTGACAAGCAATTTTTGATACAGGAGGAAAATGAGGGTACAAACGAGCCCTATCCCATGACTTTATTAAACACGTGCCTCTCTCTGGGTCTGATCTTGCTTTTTTTCCTGTTTCTTGTTAATGCTGACACCTGCACTTCTTGTGTCCTTTTGCAGAGTACTGACAGAACTCGTGTCGAAGATGCGAGACATGCAGATGGACAAGACAGAGCTGGGCTGCCTGCGAGCCATTGTCCTCTTCAACCCCGGTACACACAGCCACCTCCTCTTGTGGCTGATGCTCTTTGTGATCCTTTCATTACCCATAGAGCTCTCTTGCAATTCACTGTGTGCACTGCTGAGAACAGGGCCAGCTTTCAGACATGTCCCATGCCTGGCTCCGGATCCATGCATTTCCCCCGGTGCCTCTCCTTTCCAAGAGGCATTTTCCCCTCTCTCTCTCTGGAGGGGTTTGGTTTGATCCATGTACGCCTTCTCCCCATTCCCAGCATCCCAGCTGTACAGAGTTCTGGTGCTTTAGGGAGTGTTGCTAAACAAGAGCTACAGTGGATCTGGGTCTTTAAGAGAGACGAAGGTATGGATCAGGGCAAAGTCAGAACATGTTGTTATTATTATTGTCCCTGTTCCCTGATCCCACGCCAGGCTTTTCAGCAGGGTTCAGCGCTGTCTCTTGGTTTCGTTTTTCAGCTTCACTTTTTTTTTTTTTTCTTCTTTTTTTTTCCCCTTCTTATAATCACCAGCAATTTGTTGCCTGCAATTTGGGATTAGCCGTATTTGGTAAAAGAAGGCAAATCTGGAGAGGTTCCCATCGTGCATGTGCTTGGGTACAGTGACTCTGTCCCTGCCAGGCTTTGTCACATCAGGAGGACCCTGAGCAGGGGCTTTTCTCACAGCCCTGCTGCAGGGCTCGGTGTTGGAGGGAGAAATCCCTCAAGCTGATGCCTGGAAGGCTTCAAACCTTTTGCTTTCAGGGTCTGTGACCACTGGAATGAGCCAAATGGTTTGGGGTTGGGATAATGGAGTGTGGTGATACACTGCACAGGGGGAAACCTTGTGCCCATCTCAGGGCTGGCAACTGATGCTTCTTCTCTCACTCTTCAGACTCAAAAGGTCTCTCCAACCCAGCTGAAGTGGAGGCGTTAAGGGAGAAGGTGTACGCATCGCTGGAGGCGTACTGCAAGCACAAATACCCCGACCAGCCTGGGAGGTGAGTCACTGCTGCACTGCCCCACCACACTGCCCCCTGAGAAGTGGAGGAAAGTCCTTGTCCCCCCTGCTAGGCATCGCCCCACAGCCCAGCAGGAGCAGTCCTGAGGAGCCCTGGCTCTGCTGTAACGCCCACAGAGGTAAGGGGTATCGTTTCCCTTTTGGAAACCACGGAGAGCAAACCACAGCTGAAACAAGACACACACGGAGTTAATTTTCAGTGGCAGATGAGCATCATTGCTGGGAAGTGAAAGCCTCAATTGATGCTCCTCTCTCCTCCCCTCCTCCCCCAATCCAGCTGGGAATGGGAGGGGGAATTAGGAATGCTTTCCTGGACCGCTCTGGAGCTGAGTGGGCGCATTTTCCCAGTTACAGCCTTGAAGCTGGCAACTGCCAGTTAAGAGACTGACAGTCGTTTGAGAAACCAAGCAGAGCACTGAAAGTGCTGCTGGGGAAAGTGTGCTGGGAAACACAGCCTGAGCTGTTGGGCTTTGTGTCTCACCTTCATTCCTGGTCTGGGTGGATTGGAAAAAGGATGCTCTTACAGCAGTGGATGCAGTGGGCAGTGTATTGGACCTGGTTATGCGATATCATTGTGCTGGCAGATGAAAAAAGATGTTCTGTGAAGAGGTTTTGTGGTGTTTGTGGTTGGGTTGTGGTGTTATAAAGGCCCTCCCCCAGTGGGAAGCACTCTGAGCTTTGCATAGGCATTCACAGTCTGCAGTGGGGGTCGTGCTGGCACCAGTGTGGACTCTGGAGCTTGGTTTGCTGGCTTTGAATAGATGTGGGGGCCTGCTTGTGCTGTCTGCACACCCTGCTTTGCAAAAAACCTCTAGGGGTAAACCTGTAGGGCTGCCCACAAGGGCCAGCATTGAGCCCTGCCCCAACACAGGACCCATTGCAATAAGCCCCAGGGGGCTCAGCAGGGTTAACTCTTGGGCTGAGAGTCTGGGGTTACACAGCCCCTAAGGGAATGCTCTCGGAGTGCTCCTGGCACAGCATGATCCCCAGCTGGGGCTGGAATCAAGTGGTGCAGCATTGCGTGCTCCCTGCTGCTCTGCAAGGAGGACATGGGCTGTGCGTGCTGCAGGGAGCAGGCAGGGCTGTCCTTCCCCCCCCCTCCCCCAGCACGCTGTGCTGAAGGCTGGTGTGCTCACAGTTAAACATCTCCAAGGGCTGCAGCCATCATCTGGTTTGGTTTAAAGTGAAACTTCCTGAATGGGATGGTAGAGCTGATTTGTTTTTCCTGGCTCTGCTCCCGCTGTTCTTGCCAGCTCAGCAAAAGGAAAAAAAAAAAAAAAAAGGAAAAAGAAAAAAAAAAAACAGAAGAGAGAAGTGTGCATGCGTGTATAACATCAGTGTGTTCGTGCGTGGTTCTGTGTGTTTCCTGCTCCCCTTCTCTCTGGGCTGGCTCTGTTCATATTGAAACCCTGACTGTGCTGCATTAAAGCCAAGTTCAAGGGCTTTTCTCCCCTCTGGTGGGCAGTGTGGGGGCTCCCAGGGTGGTCCTGCTGACCCCCACAGGACCCCTTTTAATTCCTCAGCTGCTTTCCCTTTTGCCTGAGCAAGCTGAGAGCTGCTGCACTCTCTTTGCCGCAGGGACCCCATAAACAAGTCAGGCTGCTCCCTGCATTTAAAGCATGGCATGGATACAGCACACCCAGCCCAGGGATGGCCCTTCGTGCCTTATTTTCCTCTTTCAGCTTAGCAGATGTTTGCTGTAAATATCGGCTACCAGATCTTCAAAGCTAGGGCTGTAATTAGTGATTTCTCATTGTGATTTCTTTGCTTTGGGAGCAGCAGAGCCTGTGAGCTCCCAGCCTGCGCGCGGTGCAGCTGAGGCCCTCTAACTCTGTACCGTATTTCCTACCCCCAGGTTCGCCAAGCTCCTGCTCCGCCTGCCAGCCCTACGGTCCATCGGCCTCAAATGCCTGGAGCACCTCTTCTTCTTCAAGCTAATAGGCGACACGCCGATCGACACCTTCTTGATGGAAATGCTGGAAGCACCCCATCAAATGACTTAGAGAACTGCCGCTGGGTCAGTCCCTCACCCGGCCAGGGCCATGCGGGCTCCGTCCTCTGCTTCCTCCTCCTCCGCCCCAGCCCCTTCCCTCTGCTCCCCAGATGCTGGAGGCACCGTCCGAGCTTCTCCGCGTGGTCCCCGGGCCGAACCCGCACCTCCCTGCCGCCTCATCACGTTGACCTTTTTGTCCGTTCGCTGTCACTGCTGCATCTAAAGACCTCTGATGGCTGTTTTTTTCCCTGCGGTAGATGTAGAGGAGTGGGGACGGATGGCTTCGCATCAGTGCTGGCTGGCACGTGGCATGGGAGCAGGGACGGTCCCGTGCCATCCCGGCCCCGCCGTGGGGTTTGGACGAGTCAAGGGAGAGCGGTTCGGCTCACCAGATTTGCAGCTGGCTATTATCAGAGGATGGAGGTTTTTTTTTGGTGGTGTTTTTAGGTTGGTTTTGTTTTTGTTTTGTTTTTTTTGTTGTTGTTGTTTTTTTGTTTTTTTTTTTCTTTTTTGTTTTTTTTTTTGAACAAGAGAAAAGAAAAAAAAAAAAAAAGAAAATTATTCTATTTTTGGTTTCCAACTATTCTTAGTAGTCTCAGCAGTTCCTTTGCGAAAGGGAGAGGCTGTGGGGAGGGGTGGCTCTCACTGGGCTCTATTAGTGAGTCACCATGGCTGCACGGAGCCTCTTTGCTCAAAGCAAGGGGTTTGGGACTGAGCTCAATCCCTCTCTGAACAACGTGGGGCTGCCCTGTCCCCCTCTGCTGTCCCCAGTGATGCCGCTCCTCTGGGACACGTAGCTCTGGAGTGCTTGCTTTAAGGCTGCCAGGGATGTGGTTCCACTTTTCTGCAGCTCACGGAGGTCCTGCTGGGCCCCCTGCCCTTCTTGCTGTGCCCAACGTCCTGGCCCAGCCCTACAGGAGCTGCCTTATTGCAGGAGCTGTCATGCTGGAGCAGCAGGATCTGATGGCTCAGCAGTGCTCCTGTTGGATTCTGTAATCCCAAGTTCATGCAGGGCCATTTCCAGCCAGAAGGTGGGCTCAGCAAAATGCCCCACGTGCAGACTGTAGGGAGAAGCAGCCCTGCAACCACTGGCAGCCCATGCATGGTGTTTCAGTAGCTGTGGTGCAAGGCAGCAGTTAGTGGGAGCTCTCAGCCGTGCTGCTCCCTGGGGTGTTCATTGGCAATGATGCAGGAATGGAGCTCACTGTCCCTGAATATCCCTCATTGGAATGGTGGAGGACCTGTGCCATTCACCTCACCCTCTTGCATTAACCAGGGGAGAAAATGAGAGAGAAGATCAGAGTGAAGTCTCTCATTGGGGGTTTCTCCCTCCATAACAGGACTGAGCGTCCCAAACACACCATGGGTTGGGGGGAACCAAGGCTGAGTACCTGCTGTTGGCCCTGGACCGAGGGCTTCCCCATGGCTTTTATGTCTGCTGTAAGACAGCAAAGTGGTCCCAAAAAGAATGCAATCTCCTGCAGAGCATCCCACCGGCTGCTCTGTGCCTGGGGAACACAGTTGTCACCTGCCTGTTCTCACCCCACTGGCAGCTCAAGTTCCAGCTCCATCCCCATCAGGCCATCTCCTTGCTGGCAAATCCACAGAGGTGGGGAAAATCTTTTGGCCATCTTTCTCCAGCAGCCTGCATGCCGCTGAAAATATTGTTAAACAGCTTCACCCTGGAAGAATTTGCCAAGAAAAGAAGGCGAGAGAAATGAAATGTAGTGAGAGTGCCAATAAACGGGGCTGCTCGGTGCCTGCCCAGTGTGAGGCTGGGGGCTGGCAGCAGTGAGGTCAGAGCGTGCTGGGGGTCGGTCAGCTGTGCACTATAATAAACCTGGACCCTTGTTTATCTCCCTTGGGTAGAACCACTTCTTTTTTTGCTTTTGTTTTTTTTTTTAATGATTGACTGCTTGGAAGGGGCTGTTTTGGTTTGCACTGTTGGACGGCTGAGCATGTGCCCCCATCCCATCCTGTCCATCGTATCCTTCCCATTCATCATATCCATCCCATCTCTTCAATCCCACCTAACTGTATCCCGTCCATCCAGTCAAATCCCTTCACTGTCACCCAATCCCTTCCATCTTATCCCATCCATTCCATCCCATTTCATCCATCTCATTCATCCCATTCTGTCCTTCCCGTCCTACCCCACCCTGTCCCATCCATCTCATTCATCCCACCCCGTCTTTCATACCCCACTCTTTCCATCTATCCCATTTATCCCATCCCACCCTGGTTCCTGTCTGACCCCTACAAACACAAATGCTGTGAGCAGCGGGTTGCCTTCAGCATGCAGCAGGGTGCAAAGCCCTCATGCTGGGGTTCCCAATCAGGACACATCTCCGTGCCTCGGTTTCCCTGGAGCAGCACAGTTCTGGGATTCCTGCCCCTTACAGAGGAAGCTTTGGGGAAAGGCTGAGCGTTGTCCTGGTGTCAAGAGAGCTCCCACCTTGCTGTAAATCAGCATAGCTCTCTGTTTCACAGCAGCAGCCTTTTGGGGCTCAGCCCCCAGAGATGAGCCCTGATCCCCCATGCAGGGCCACCAAGGCAGCCGTCCCCAGCAGAAGGATGAGCTCCCGTGCCTCGCTGTCACCTGCCACAGCAGCCTTAAAGCAACCTGCTCTTGCATGAGTTTGGCTCTTTCATCTGTATTCTTTTTTACTTTTTGGCTTTTAATTTTTTATTTTTTTTTTGCCCCCTAGTAGTTATTCTGACTGTATTACTTGCTTTTTGGAAGAGGTGATACATGGGTAAAAGAAAGGAAAAAAAAAAGGCACATTATCCACTAGCGAGGTAGGACGTTCATTTAAGCAGATCTCAGTACTCTCGCCAACATCTGGTTTCCATTAGGGTGATCATTTTTTATTTTTGTTTTTTAATATATATGTATTTTTTACATTTTCTTTTTCGTTCTTCTTGCTGTTGGTGGGACAATCTTTAATTTTCTAAAGATAGCACAAACATCAGCTTTTCAGCCCCCACCATCCGGGCTCAGAGGCGATGCTGTCCCCATCAGAGACCGCCTGGGCTCACGGATACGTGCTGTGTATACATGTATGTACTGTAGATATATACACTGTACAAATAGCCTCACTCACATATACATATATTATACCTGTAGCAATGGCAGACTTTATTTTTTGGTGTTGTTTTAAGTTGATTCTTCCCCTCCCTCCCCCTGCGTGTTGTTTTTGTACGCGAACCCCTTTCCCAATTGGCACAAGCCGAACCTGGGTCCTTATAACTCGCCGCAAAGGAGATGCATCTATTTTAAGATGCCTTTTTTGTTTCTGTTTTGTTCTGTTGGTTCTTTTTTTCGGTGTTTTTTTTTTTTTTTTTGCCGTTGTTTTCCCTTCGGAGCAGCAGGTGGCGGTGAGGAAGAATAGCTTTAGCCGTTCCCGATGCTTAGCGATGGATGCCTGGGCTGTGGGGGTCGCGTAGCTGAAAGAAAACAAAAACGAAACACGTTAAAAAATTTCGAATAACAAAAACAAAAACGAAAAAAAAAAAAAAAAAAAAAAAAAGGAAAAAAAAAATATATGAAGCGGCAATAAAATTAAAAAAAAAAAAAAAAAAATTAAAAAAAAAATCTATTTTTGTACAAATGTAATTTTATCCCTGACGTATTCTTGGATATATTTTGGTTGTTTTTTTTTTTTCCCCTCCTGGATTGTTTTGTTTCTTTTACAGAGGTTGTTATAAAGGCTGTCTCTATTTTGCTCTCCTTCTCCCTCTCTCTTTCTGTACTTTGTCCGGCCGCAGGGGCAGCGCTCATAGGGGAGGGAGGAACTTCTGCCCGTGTTTTAAAGGCTTTATATCAGATCTTTTCTGAAATCATTTGTTTGCAACGAACTTTTTATTTCTTTTTTTTTTTTTTTTTTTGCCCCTCTCTCCTCCCCCTACTCCCAAAAATGTTTATTTTGGGGGGAGGAGGGGAAAGTGTATGGAGGAGAGGGGGGGGGAGAGGTGGGCTGGTCTGGGGGTGTCTTTTGTCACACGTATATCTGGCGTTCCCGCAGGTCTGTTTTACTGTGAAATCACTACCGTATGTTATTATTCACTTTAAAAAAAGGAAAGAAAAAAAAAAGAAAAAAAAAAAGAGAATTGCTGCTGGAAAAGCCAGAAATTAAAAAAAAAAAAAAATAAAAAAAAAAAAAAAGAAAAAAGGAGAAAAAAAAAATATATGAGCATTTTAAAATATAACCCAGTGCAAGTCCTCGTTTGTTCTGCAGGGGGATTTCCTCACGTTAGCGGGGTTCTGTCCCTCCCAGGTTGTCCCCTGTGGGGTTCTGCCACTATCAGGGAGGTGAGCATCCTCCTGCACACCTCAGCCCTGCAGAAAGAATTCCACATTCCTTTGCTGGTGACATGGGACAGCTCAGAGCCATGCAGGACATGGGTGCTGGGGGAGCCCCAGGCCCCAAGTGATGTCCTGGGATCATGGCGCATCCTAGGGTATGTCCTAGGGGACGTGGTACATCGTGGGATCATGGCACATGCCAGACACATGGCACATCCCAAGGACATTGGCACCTCTTGGGGACGTGGCATGTCCTGGGGTCATGGCACATCCCAGGCAGCAGCAGCAAGCACCCAGCCATGGGGACGGGCGCAGTGAAAATGCCATTCCCATGCATTGGGGCACAGCACTGTTCTCAGCCTCCCTCCCCTCCTAGTGCCATGGTACCAGGGTGCCTTGAGTGTCACCTGCCCTCGCTGCCAGGTGTAAATGAGCCTGAACTCACTCTTGGGTTTACAGCAGAGATAACTCCCCGGCGCTGACACAGAGATGGCAAATGGGTGTTTCAATGCAGTTAGTGCTGATCTGCGTGCTGCCAGCTCTGCCACAACGTTGTTTCGTTTGGGAAGCACAGGGACATGAGGGATGATGGTGCTGGGAGGTGGCAGCTGCTGCATGCTGTGGGACACTGCCTGATGCCTCCCTACCCACGTGGGCAGCACCCGCAGGCGCTGGGCGCTGCGCTCGCACATGGGCTGGATGCTGTTCCAGTGGCTATTTGTCTTGTTAACCTCCAGGCAGCAGTTTGTGTTTGGAGAGTAAATATTGACCTCCTCCCTCCCTGAGGTTTATTTTTTTTCCCTCTTTGCCCCTTCTTCCCGAGGTGGATGAGCTGGGATGCGTGGCCAAGGCTCCCCACCGTGCTCGTCCTCATGCCACCACCCATTGGCAACAAAACCATGAGGGGCTTGGAAACGGGGCTTGTTTCTCCATTTAAAGCAGCTAATGTGAAAAGGAAAGGGAAAGACAAGCTGCCCGATGTTTCCTTCTTTGCCCTGTTCACTGTCCCCTCCGTGGTGGCACAGAGGAGGAGGAGAAAGGCCCTTCGGTGAACTCATGCCTGGTTCTTCTGCTTCAACTGGAGTTGAGGTGTGTGTTCTGCTCCCCCCCTCCTGATCCCGTGATGACAGAAGGTGGCTGTAAGGAGATGGAATGCTTTGCACGTGCAGTAGTTGGGGTTTCGCTTTG